GAGCTCATCATTTTTGCATGTATTGGTTGCATCTCCATGGTTATTTGGGAATATTTTCACATGTTTTATTCACTGATTTTTTCTGGTTTGGTAAGATTCCATGTGCATCCTATACTTGCCATATAACTCATGTTTGCTAGTCAAAGTTGCATGCTATTTTAGTCCATTTTGCTAGCATCTTTTGGCCATGCTTTGAACTGGAAATGTTCATGTTTTGGGACTGCCTTGGCTCTGTCTTTAGACTTCATGATCAAATAATGCATGCTTTGTATAGCTATAAGTCATTCCATGTGCCTAGTTTCGAGTTTCGGGGTTTATCTCATGCATCAGGTGCCATTTTTCCATGTTTCGGGGCTGTTTAGCATCATATTTCAGTGCTGGAATTTGTGAGTTTGTATGCCATCTTGCATCCCTTGTCATGCCTTGTTAGAGTCGCATGTTATGCCTAGGATTAGTCCTCGGTTTGCGTGCATGTGTGCACGCATTTCGATAGTCCCATTTTCACCTAATGGCTACTGATGTGAGTATGGCTGAGGTCCACTCATGTTGATGTAAGTCCATCATGCATTGTGTATGCCATTTCATTTCGCAGCATTGTGTATGCTAGGTTGTATGTTAGAGCATTGTGTATGCCTCGTTACATCGTGCATTGTGTATGCCATTTCATAGCATTGTGTATGCTAGGATGCATGTTAGGATCGCATTCATGCATGTCATACATATTGCATAGTGCTTGGGATAGGAGTTAGCCTAAGCACGGGAAACGAGGGACGTTTCGTACTCCGAGTGACGGAACGTGTCTCAATTCCCTGTCGTCGACATTCCGGATTACCCATGATGGAGTTTGGGCCTTGTTGTGTCCATATGTGCATTCATTTCATATTGAGTCGTGCAAATCGACTCCTCAGCCATCATGCATCGAGATGCGTGATTGGTGGCACGAGGATCGAGGACTACACTCCCTGAAGAGTAGTCATGCATACATATGTGAAAATACTTTGCCATGCCCCTGTGTTGCTCTCTGTTGCAGCAAATAAAAAATCGACAGCCTTCCGGAGCTTGGCACGCATCCCGAGAACAATTGCAAACAGAGGCGAACCGGGGCATCGCAATAGATTTCCGCGCAAGGCAACTTGAGCATGCATCATCCATCATTCGGAACGGAGCTGAGGCGGTCCACAGATTTGCGTGCAATTTACTGCTTTCCTAGATTAATTTGCTAATTAATTAGGATTTTATACTTATTCGGACTGTACTATTTATTCGGGACTGTATATTATTTATTCGGACCCTCCGAGTGAGGGCACAACTGTAATAAGTGTGCGTGTGTGTGATGTATGTCTTCCAATCCCACATCTTTCTCCCTTTTATTTACCCGCTTATGATGGATAGATTAGGGCATGTTTCAATTAATATACAGTATGATAGCATGTTTGCATTTATTCATCTGTTTTGCATGCACTGGGCTCGACGCATCATACTAACTACATTGCATTTCAATTCCGAGTTGAATACTTGTTAGCTGTAGCATTTCGCATGCCATCTTTAGAATAACCGAGCCTATCTTAGTTGCATCTTGCATGTGTTGCATTAGGCATTTCTGTATAGTTATGATCATGCATGGGTTTCTAATCAGCTTCTGTTTTGGCTTGGAATACTCGGTAAGTTTTATGCTTTAGCATCCTTGCATGCGTGTGAGTGACTGTCATGATAGCATGCTTACCATGAGGCTATGTGCTTATGTGATATAAACTGCCTGAATGCCTGTGGGTGAAGGCTGGGTTATTTGAATTGGAACAATTTGTTGGCTGTGAGTTTTAAGCCCACTAGATAGTGGCAAAATCATGTTTTCTAAGCCCATCCGAGGGTGGCAAATCCACGTCTTAGCCTACTTGCGGGTAGCACCATCAATCCATTTTCAAATAAACAAACATAAAATGTTTTGTTCCAATTCAGGCGACCCAGTCTATACTTGTATGCTGTGCGCATCACATAGTAAATCTAGGTTAATAACCGGAATAAGAACGCATAATGTTTTCAAAAATAGATATCATGGTTAGTAGAGGCCGATCTTTGATCGGGCGAGCGGGGGTGCTCACGAAGTGACCTTCCCCAATCGTACCCAAGTTCCCGAGCCGATGCAACTTTGGTGATGACGGACACGTGGCCTTAGGCAAGCGAATCAGGGTTTCCTAAATTTCCCCAAAATAAAACATTTAGGTGGCGACTCTGTATCTGGTAAAGCAGTCCATGTTTGGCACTTCTTTCAAAATTTGTTTTCTCAAAACGATTTGCCGGATTTGGACTCTTTGGTTCAGATTTAGAACCGTGACAATTTGAGAGTCCGAACATGTAGTGAGCCCAAATGAACAGAACGGGACTCATCCTCCTGGGACGTTCGGGGACGTCTACAGCAGGTTATTCATTACCTACTCAATCGGCCATCACGGACGATCTCGATCTATCACTAGCAGAGGTTTGTTAAACATTAAGTTTCCTTCCTGTGAAAGAGGTTATCCTGGACATATTTCCATTGTTCACAAATCCTATCAGAAAAACCATAAATCACAAAGGCTAATGAAACAATATTCATAGATGAGGATGATAAATGGACATATCTAGTTTCTATTCATTCAGAATAAGTCAACACAAGGCAAATTTGACTGCTCAACTCTAAATATTAAGTTAACATTAGTTTAATTTTATAGTCAATAACCTCAATAATTGCATATCTAATCTCACAAGATTTCCTTCCAGCACTGGAACTATAATCTACGCATGTATTCAGGTTATCAACGTTCACACCCTTAGTTTTCTCGAGATCTAGATATCTCTTCTTACAATGAATTGGTTCTAGTGTTCTTCTTTTAGGTACCTATTACTGCTCTAGGTGCAACCTTAATCGACAAAGCTGGAAGAAAACCCCTTTTCATTGGTAAATCCTAGTATGAAGTACTATTAGCTTCAAATATTCAAGTAAGGTCAGATTTTTTTTTTTCATTCTAGGTTTCTGGATCAGGATTGGTCATAGGTTGTGCACTAACAACTATTTCATTCTATCTAGAGGTAATTTCTAAACAATTAATAGTAAGAGCTTCGCTCATGTTTTTTTTTTTTTTTGGTTTTAATTTTGATCTACAATGATCATTGTGTGGACTAGGTCCACAAAATAGCAATCAATGCATCACCAATACTTGTTGTAACTGGCATACTGGTAATACTATCAACTCTCTAAAACCAAAATTTCCACCAATATCAATTTATTCTATATGATAACTTTTTTTCTTGGTCAGGTATACATAGGAGAATTTTCAGTAGGAATGGGCGTGGTTCCTTGGGTTATAATGTCTGAGGTATGTAAAACTGCAGAATCATCATTTCCATCTATGATTTGATGATTTCATCAAGCTGAGAGTTTCCTCTTATTGTAGATATTCCCTATAAATGTAAAAGACGTAGGGAATTTGGTGTCTGTCACTATAACTCCATGGCATTCAATTGAATTTGTAGTTTGCAAAATGAACAACAAAAAAGAGAGGAAATACTGGTTAATAATAACATAATAGAAGTGTAGCAAGCAAGCTTTTTGAGACGACGGCCATGTAACAAGATAATTGAATTCCAATGCTAAAAATATTACTAGCAAAAGAAAAATGGTCTATTCCAGATGTATTGAAACCAGTGCATGAATTCAAAGAGCCTAGCTCAAATTGCATCTAATGGTGCAGCTTATTCCATTTAAAACTTTCAATTTTGCTTTAGAATGAGAAATAACAGTCCGGATCAACCATTGTGTTTGTTTTAATATATCAGGTTCATTAATACATCTGTTCTGTTCACTTGCTTGAGTATTAATTTTCAAAACATTTCCAAAGAGTGTTAGTACAAGCTACTCAAAAGAACTTGCCTAACATTTGGGGACTTGGTAGCTAGATTTGGATGATTATTTTTTTATCAAATTTGAGAAAAATGGATTTGGAGTGTGGATAAAACATTGATGAAAACATTGATAAAACAAGAATTAAACTGTGAACTGTCTTCAGTTTTGTACAAATCTTCAATTAGCAAAAGTCTATGTGTTAGAATTATGAATAGTTATTGGGCCTCTCTCCTCAAAGTTGATACAAGACATAGTAAATTTTCCAATAGAGATTGCTTATCAAAGATGAATAAATTCTCAAGAGAGATTCACACTAAATTTTTTTTTTTTTTCTTTCAAGAACAACCTGAAGAAAACAACAGGAAAATATAGAAGAACCTAAGCCAACACAACATTTGACAAATTACAGCTAATTTCAACATGATTTCTCCGGAAAACTTCACTAAAAATTAAACTACTCTGTTCGGTTTCTAAAATTAAGAATCTCAAGGAGTCCATATGTAATCTATTTCCCTAGGGCCTACATTTTCTGAGCAACTAAATAGGGAAAAAGAATCCACATTACACATCAAAATGAATACTACCTTCAATCTCCTCAAACTTCAACAATTCTAAAGAAACAGAAAGAAAAAAAATAATAATAATAATTAAATAAATAAAATTTTTCGAGACATTAATTAGCGGATTTCCTCGAGACGCAAAAGAAAATTAAAGGAAATCGAAATGAATGAATTGGGATTTGGATCTAGAATGAATAAAGAAAGAAAGAAAGATAAATCTGAGATAAGAATATTGATTGCTTGAGAGAGAGGCTAAAGAGGGATTAAAGAACTGACATTGATTGCTTTTTTAATGCAATCTCTCCTTTAAGCTGATGATGATCACACAAACCACCAAGCAAGCAACCCACCCGCTCAAACCTCTCTCTCTCTCTCTCTCTAAAACTGTCACATTCTCTCTCGTGAATATCATAGCATCACAGATTGAATTTCACGATTTGACAACTATAAATTCATATTCATATTCAAATTCAAATCAAATTAACACATGGATTCAAATTCAAATCTCTCATAACAAATTTATAATTAAATATGAACTTCTAGATCAGAGAGAGAATTACCGCTTGAAATAGAAGGGGCAAACCCTAGGAGGAGATTCAAGATTGTAAACCCTAGGAGGAGAAGAATCGACGAAATGAAGAGCTTGAGAGAGAGAGAGAGAGAGAGAGAGAGAGAGAGAGTAAAAAATTGAGATTGAATCAAAATCGATGACGATGGCTCACCTTAGTAGACGATGCAAATGGCGATGGCGGTGACGGTGGAGCTTTGAAATTGAGAGAGAGAGAACTTCGAAATTGAAATCATCGAGCTACATATTGATTTATGAGAAGGGGACAAGGTATTGATTTATGAAAAGGAAGCTGCTCTACGAAATCAAAATCACCGAGTTGAAGTGAAGAGAGTGAGCGAGAGATTTGAGGGAGCCCAGCAGAGATTGTAACACATTTGGAGGCGTTTATATTAGCTAAACGGTACCGTTTTAATTAATACAAAATGCGACACTTATAAAACGTCGTTAAATATTATAAAAAGTTTAAAAAAATGCTGCAGTGATATGTAATTTTTTTCAAAATCCCACTAGGTGTAATTATCCCTTAAAAGAAGACACTAAATTATAAAATAATGTATAAATTATTTTTTAAATTGTCCTCAATTAGGAAAATTTAAAGTGAGAAGCTTGGTTGGAAATTGTTAGCTTTTTTAAATCAAAAAAAAAAAAAAAAAATCAGATTGAAATTTTTTTTAATAAAAGTTTTCACAGCATGCTAATGCATGCCGTGTAAAGTTATAATATTTTTACGACATGAAATGTATGTTGTCTTAAGTTTAAATATTTTTTGACATATTTTTGTATGCCGTGAAAATATACGTTTTTTACGGCATGCTTTTGCATGCCATAAAAAAATTTTGGATTGATTTTTTTTTTTTTTTTTTTTTTGCAGAAGTTTTCACGACATGTTAATGCATGCCGTGTAAAGTTATAATATTTTATAACATGAAGTGTATGTCATCTTAAGTGCAAATATTTTACGACAAATTTTTGTAAGTCGTAAAAACATACATTTTTTACGGCATATTTTTGCATGCTATAAATATATGAATCAACGACTTACATAGTATGTATGCAGTTATTGAAAAAACATTTACAGCTTGCAAAAAAAAAAAAAATGCCGTAGAATGTACTAACTACGACATGCATTTAATGCATGTCGTAAATATGATGCCGTGAATAGTTTGTTTTGTTGTAGTGTCATCAAACTACCTATCTGTTAAAATGTAACACATGTCACTCATTTACCACCCCATTTGTTAAATATTACACATTTTTCCACCTCATCACAACCAATTGCTGCTGCTAGTCACTGCCACCGGCAGCCAACGAATTTTTTGGCATATCTTTATTACCAAATAAAATTTCACCTTGAATTTAATGTTTTGTACTTTAAATTGGACTTTTTACAAATTTTTCCTAATTTTCTCAATAGGGTTGGCCCAAGTAATCATTAATATTAGTATAATTATTATGATTTGACAAATTTAATTTTTTTTATCAACAGACAAAAGAAAAATATTTTATTAGTATCAATAAAACATTACAGAAGAAAGGAGGAAGAAGCACAATAAAGCAGCATGCTTCTCCAAAAATGAAAGCTTGTTGGCTAGATGCCAAAACTCAGTACTAGCTCCATGACCAACAACAGAACTCCATCCTTAATGTGTGTTCAAGTACATGTTAAAAAGGATAAATTACACTCTACTGTAGACACCCCATTTTTGACCACCCTCAAGACTTGGACGTCACCGTTTGAACACTCGGTGATCATCCATGTTCGTGTTCGTCTTGAGTCCTCGGAGGTCTCGGTTACGCGCCTTGCCTCAAGACCTCTCGACTTGCCTGTTTTGTGTTTGGTTTTGCACCAAACACTTGTGTTTTGCTTTTGAGGGGCAGGGAATGGCTTTTTGGCCATCCCCACACCTCACCAGCCATGGCTTGAGGCCACCGGCTGTGTTTTGTTGCCATCGGCCAAATGTTTGGCCGATCGGCACTCTGTTTGGTCGGATGACCATTTATTTGGTCAATTTGTCATTTTTGGCTGGCCGATCATTGTGCATCTGCTTTTGGCAGATATTTTGTGCCAGTTGTGATAGCTGGCACCCACTTTACACCCCCTCCATACACGTGTATGGAGGGATTTCACTCTTGCTTAGCTTATTTTGTAAGCTTTGTAAGAGTGATCCTCTATAAAGAGAGGTCTCATCCTCCCTCCTTGAGGGTTACAAAAAAAAGAGTTCCAGAGGTCTGAATTAGGGTTAGGTCTTGTGTATCTATCTATCTCTATATCTCCCTCTCTTTTGTTTTTTGTGTGTGTTCAAAGGTGTTTTGTTCTTAGTTTTGCACTAGGACACCTAGTATCACACCTTACCTTGGTTGCTGAGGAGCCAAAGGCGTGTTCTTGAAGTTCTTGAGTGGATTCAAACTTGAGGAAGCAGTTGGAGCTCAGCTCTTGAAGGGGGTCTTCAAGGGTAAGAACTTTGCTCTTTGTTCCCCATTTTTGCATAGGCTTTTAGCCATCCTTGCATCTATTTTTAAGCTTAACTTATGACATATAAAAGTTATGATTTTAAGTGCTTAAAATAGTTGTTTAAGGTTGTTTTGGTGTTTGGGGTTATTTGACCCCTCTTAGGCCTTGTTTGGCCCCCATTTTGTGGTATTTTGGTGAGCTCCGGGACCACCTTGTTTGGGCCTCCTCACCACTGAAATCCAATGGGATTTCAGTGGTGGGGATGGTGCTTTAAGGTCTTAAGAAGGAGAGGGCCATCTCCTCTTCTTGTTGCCTTCAATATTGGCCATTTTAGCCTCATGTGTGAGCACCTTTCTTGAGTTCATGTTGGCCATGTCTTAAGTGTCATTTGTGCTTATTTTGCCATGATATAGCACTATTTTAAGTTAGTTTAGACACACCATGCTTGCTTTGCATACTTGTCTTGTAATGCCATGAAATTGCCTTAACATGTATTTAGCATCTAGACCACTATGCTTACTTGTTTTGGCCTAGCTTTGTGAAGGTTTTATGCATGTTTTAGTATGCCTAAGGTCTGTTCATGGTTGTTTTGGCCATCCATGACATGCTTTGTATAGCCACCTTGCATTTTGTCTTGTTAGTCTTGGGTGTGTGAGTGTTGAGCATGCATTGCTTGGCTTGTTTCAGTGGTTTGGCACCACTTATAGCATCATTTTAGTCCTTGTGGTATGCTTGTATGCTTGCCTTTGATGCTCCTTTAATACTTTAAAAGGTTGATGCCTTATGTCTCATGCTTGGGTCATTTTGCATGTCTTTAGGTCTAGGCCATTTAGATGCCATCTAGGTGGGTTTTGGGGCTCATTTTAGCATGTCATATCTTTGTTTTGGTCGCTTAATTCATGCCATGTTTGGTTGCATTAAGTGTGGTGTAATGCCTCTTTAGTGGCCTTGCATGCCTCATGCATTTGCCCCTTTTGTTTTTAGCTTGTTGGCTTTGGTCATCTCATGTGTTAAGCTTACTTTGCCATGCTTTAGGACTGTCTTGGCTCACATTTTCCATATGCCCTCTGTTTTGCATGGTTTTGGTTCAAGCCCTCTTGCTATTTTTGGGCTTTAAGCTCTATTGCATGCTATGCTTGGTTTGTTTATGTGATTTGGAATCACTCTTACCACCATTTCCGAGCTTGCAACATTGTCACATTTACATGCTTTTCATCCTTTTTTTAAGTGTGCTTAAAAGTTGTTCTTTGATGCATAAGTGTTGGACCTCGCGTGCATGAATTTTTATGTGTACATTCGCCTTGCATGTTGTCACACACTTGACCCCTTTGTATGTTGTTGCATGCTTAGGTGGTAGTGCATTTGGCATGCATTTCTTTTGCTTTGGTTGCTTAACATGTCACATGTCTTGCATGTTTGTTTGTTGGCATTACATTTTGCATGCTTGTTAGCTTGCATACTTGTTACATGTTTGCATACTTACCTCCATGTTCATGTTGCATACTAGCCTATATGCTTAGGTTGCATTTGGCATGCATGCCTTGCCTCTTGAATCGATTATAATAGAGGTTGGGTCCATTTGTTTATTTGGTTTGCATTACTTTTGACATCAAAATGCATACTTGGCTTCTTGGACCATCACGCATTGAAATGCGCGATTTTTGGTCCGAGGGTCGAGGACCATCCTCCTTTGAGTCATGAACATGATAAGGAGGGTGTTGGTGCACACATTTGCTTGAAATGTATTGCCATGCCATGTTTGTCCTCTGCTGCTGTCAAAACAGGATTCTGCAGGCATACATGGTCGACCGACCATCTCTATTGCCGACCGACCAAACATTTGAGGTCGAGAGCCATATCAGTGGTCGATGACCAATTCCCTATAGCCGGTGGTGTTCCCCCTTGGCCGGTGACATCCCACAACCTTCAGGGAGTGATGCTGAAGCATCCTTGGGATTTGTGCAAATCTCAGAGATGCAGAGCAGTGTAAACAGAGGCAGCTTGTGCATGGCAACGGATTTCCGAGCGAACCCGAGCACGCATGCATTGGACCCTCTTCCCGAGGCTGTTTTGTTGCTTTCTTAGCTTAGTTATTTTTCTTAACTAGTTAAGTGGTCTGTAATATTTAATTAGCTAGAATAGTTGATTATTTATTCGGGTTTGTATTATTTATTCGGTCTCTCCGAGAGAGAGCATAATTGTGTAATAAGTGTGGGTGCGTGTGTGCATATCTTCCAACCCCCACTTCTTTCTCCCTTTTACTTACCTGCTTTTGATGGTTAGTATTAGGGCACGTTTCATTTAGCATACCTTATGCTATGCATGTGTGCATCATTCATTTGTATTGCATGCACCGGGCTCGGTGAATCATACTAACTGCATAAGTATTTCAAACCTAAACTTGAATACATGCTATTAGTTGCATTTCACATGCCATCCCTAGATTAGCCGAGCCTATTCTAGTTGCATTTTGTATGCGATGCATTAGTCATTTAACATGGACTTGGATCATACATTTGATTGCTAACAAGTTCCTTGTTTTGGCTTGGAGTACGATGTAAGTATTTATGCTTTAGCATCTCGTATGAGTGTGAATGATGACATGACATCATGCTTACCATGTGGCTATGTGCTTATGTGATATATCTGCCGGAATGCTTATGGGTGAAGGTTGGATTGTTTGAGTTGGAACAACTCCTTGAAATTCGTGTTTTAGCCTACTTGCAAGTAGCAAATTTCAAACCGATTTCCAAACAAACGGATATGCGATGCTTTGTTCCAAATTAGGCGATCTAGTCTATACTTTTGTGTTGTGCGCATCACATAGTAAGATTAGCTAATTAACCGGAATAAGAACACATAACGTTTTCAAAACTAGATATCATGGTTAGTAGAGGCCG